AACATTATTTGGGTAATATTCATTGTGTGTCGTCCGGGAGCTCGCCTTTAATTCAATATACTCGAGCAACCTGAATTCGATTCCCGGTGTTGGCACTAATGATATTGTTAATTTTAAGTGCTGACTTATTACGTTCTCAGGGGTGAAGGAAAACATCGCGAGGAAACCTGTATATTATCAAAATAATTACAAAAAAAAAATATTTCGAAGATATGTGAAGTCTGATAATAGGCAGTGGGGCCGCGTGGTGGACCCTGATACCCTCTGAACAGAGGATGCCTTTGTCAGTGTGACATTTATAGGCTGTTACTTTACTTTTTTTATGCTTCTGGCGTAGTACCGTGGAGTCTGATGGAATTAAATAACTTTTGAAGGACTAGTGTACCGATTTTCTACCCGTTCTTGGAGGTTAGGCCGTAATTCCGTCCGATTCTTTAGTTTCCTCATTAGGCTTTTCCTAGAATTAGAATGCTATGTAAACATTTCGAGCTCTGGTTCCACTCGATTGTAGCCTTAATACGCTGTGTATTATATAGTACTTGAAGTCATGTCATATTCCTTTATATTTTTATGTAGTCTTTATTTATATGTAGTGAGATTACAGCTTCAATCTCAATACGATTTCCATTAATTTTCTTTCTGTGAAGAGAGCTTTTGAGATTTTCTCTCGCATAATTTTCAAGAACTTAGACCTTAATATTAACATTAACATTAACATAAACATTAACATTAACATTAACATTAACATTAACATTAACATTAACATAAACATAAACATTAACATTTACATTAACATTAAAGAGCGTCAGGTCGCGAATGCCGAAGACGTGGGTTCGATTCCCACATCGGCGACAATCTTTTCGTACTTTTTCTACAAATTTTAATGTTCAATGTTAAGTGCAGAGATTAGCACTATAAACAATTTAAATTTCTAAGAAGCAATGGCGACATCTCTCGTTCGAATTATCATTGTAAAAGGATATTCGAAATTGTTTGTATGCTGGAAAGGATATAACAATGGATGCACCAAGCATTACTTCAAATGCTAAAAAACAATGTATATAAAAGACGTTAAGATTTTCGCCGGTGTGTCTATCAGCCGTTTAGCTCAGTGGCTAGAGCGTCAGGCCGCAAATGCCGAAGACGTGGGTTCGATTCTCACAGCGACGACAATCTTTTCGTACTTTTTCTACAAATTTTTACTTGTGGTAAGACTATGTAAGTTTCTTTTATATATATATATATATTGATTTGATTCGATTTTCACATTTTTAATCGTATATATATTATGTATGCCTTGATAAATCAATTGAGGCATAAAGAATTTACCCTTCAATCAAAGTAGGAGATGTTTGGAATGTGTGTGGAATGTTTTAAAGATAGTATAAGGTAGCAGAACGCAAATAAAATATTTTATTTGCCTTCACTGTTTAAATGGCTATCCGTCGCATTAATCATATTTCTTATACGATACGGAAATGATGACAGTGATGATTCTGATTCCGCTTAAGAGTTTAAAGTTGTACAATAATCATTTATTGATCCTACTTTCATTGCCTACAGTTAAAAGTAGATTAATAATAACAACTATGTATGTACGCAATAATTCTTTAGCGTAAAGACATGAAATGAAACTGATATTTTATTTAAATAACTTGAAATTATTGATAAATATACAAAAAGTTGTTATTATCGCTACGCAAATGACAAATTAGATCCAAGGCCGTAGTGGATACGCTACATAATACGCCAGCTACATAATCATTATAGAAGCCGTCACGGTCTATGCCGTTTAATTTAAGTCAGTTTCCCTACAGTATGGGTGAAATAATGTTGAAGTAATACTTATTTCGGTGGGTTTGGAAAAATTGTTAAAGTAATCTGTGAATTGATCAAGAAATTGTCAATCTGTTGTAATAAACAAAGAATTGTGTAATCTGTTGGAGTAAGGTCGAGGGACTATCGTGGGTGTCGGAAACATTCCAATCGCAGCTCCCCTAATTAAGCAAACGTCTGTCATGTGCAGTATAAGTTCTAGCGTTATTCTGAAGCAGCAATGTTGAATAACAAGCTTTTCCATCATGTTTTGCAATTGTTTACAATATAGATCTGCCGTAACCGCCTGGGGATGATGTTAAGAAGCTGTACTGTATATATCAACACCGGTACCATTGTCTAAGAAAACTTTCGCTTGGGACGGGAATTAGCCACTTCTTCTGTGTTTTCACTTTAATCAGTTCTGATTGTCGTATAGGATACATTTTTCATCACAAGCAACAATACGATTAAAAATTTTCCCGTTATTATAACGGTTGAGTACGGCAACACAGCAATCAACGCGTGTCTGTTGGAGTACATCACTCAATTCATAAGGTATCCGTTTATCGAGCTTTTTCACTTTCCCAATTTGTTTGAAATGAATAAAAATTGTTTTTTTTCGCTCCCACCGAAGCCTGCTGCTAACTCTGACATAGTCTGCGACGGATCTGCTTGCACGATCACCTTCATTGTCTTCTAGGGTTAATTAATTCTTCGTTGTCTTCTAGGGTTCCGGTCGTCCGCGGGGTTTGTACTGTGTGGCAAAATTTGCATAACGAAAACCTTGGAACCAAAAACGTACCGTGAAATGAAGCTTTCCCATACGCCTCATTATATATATCCTTCGAGCTTTTTCTGCTGCGTTGGTGCCACGGTGAAACGTATTTATATACGTAAATAACGCGATATTTTAAGTTTTACATATTGTGAACGATGTCAAAGAAAAATCAAATAATTGAATACGTAAATATAAAAGCCTATATATGAAATAAATTTGAATTTGGAATTAGAACTAGCCAAATGCCAAATATTTGAGATGAAAGTATACCAAATTCTTATATGTATAAGGACCTAATATAAACTTATCTTTATTAATGATTTTGGTGTAGGTTTGAGTAAAAGATAAAGTATTCATAACATTGACTTTATTTTTCAACCGTTCTCCGTGTACAAAAAGTACTGAATTTGAAAAAAAGGAAATTATATTTTATTCAGTCGAATGATTGAAAAGTAAATGTGTTTTATCAGTTAACTTTTAAAATTACGTACACGATACGATTTAAGTCTTTAGATTTTTAATGTAGATGTCATGCGCGTGTTTCATAGATATAACTATTAAGATGTAATATAATGTTACACGGATGTTTATTGTGAGATGAAATCAAATCTCTACCAGCCTAATCAGTTTATTTATTTATTTTATTTATGTTATGTAATTATATATAAGCATATATAAGTAAATTTGATATCGAGAATTCAACAAGGTCTCGCACAATGGCTTGCTCTTCAAGCTATCTGTAATCACCATGTCTGACAAGCACGCGTATACCATCCTAGCGATCCTGTTGGATTGCTCTTTTCGATACCAAATAGAAAACACTTTCTCCAAGAGTCGTCCTTCGCACAGCAGACATTCTTCAAGTCTTCTAACTCTCTTCCTTGCTCTTTTCGATCATTACGAGTGATATCCCATAAAAGATCCACAAGTTGAACTCGCGCTTTTCGTGAACAACACAGACTAAAACCTCTTCGTCGAACTATTCGCCTCGAAACCTCAATCGCTATCCTTGGCAATTGGTTTCACAAATGAAGAATAGAAGTTAACCCCGAAAAAGCGTAATGATAAAGAACAGGAAGCTAGGGCAAATCATCTTGGGGAGAAGAGGGAGAAGAGAATTTTGGTCTGTCTGTCGACATGAATATCATTTTATCCCTACAACATTAGAAACAGATCCGCTTTCGTCAGTGTCAGCCTTTATAATTTAACAAATAGTGAAGTAAAATAACCTTAAGGAATAAGGTTTTACTATACTAGCATAAATCTTGGACATAATTCTATTCCACAAAACAAATCTGAAGAAACTTCAGATAAGGCAAAATAAATTGCAGGGTCTCGATACTCTGCTACGCCATCACTTTAGAAAAATAACTATACTGTTCTCCGAGAGATGAAAATAATTCAATACCTCGGGTGACAAACGAGGCAAATTAACAACCAAAACCCGATGTTATCTTTCGGAATCATTACCAACATGACCCCGGTTAAAGAAAGGAACGTAAGCATTCCGGGGTCCCACCCAAGAATATTTTTTATTAGAATTTTAACGGTGGTAGGGCCACGCAGCAGCCTCGGCTGTTGCACGAATGGGCTCGCTCGTCCGGGTAAGTACCTCACAGAAGATTGGCGTAAAGTGGAACTATGACTAATAATTTCGCGTTTCGTCTGATGAATGAGGTAGCCGGTGCACTATTTTCTAAAGGTTGTCAACGGAGATGCGTTGGCAGATGCAAACCCTTGGGTGTAGCAGATGTCCATGGGCGGTGGTATTCACTTAACATCAGGTGAACCACCTGCTCGCTTGGTAATTTTTCACATAAAAAAAATATTATACACAAGCATAGTTCGTCCTCGCCTACGGATACGGTAACCTACAAAACATTAACACATGCTTCATCCATAGTTTTTCTGCACCGAATCTCCCGTATTGTCCCGGAGCTGACAAATCCACCCAGTAGATAACGCACGTATGAACACATAAGCACAGTAAGTCCACTCAACATCAACTCGTATCAAGCTCGTGGAATTTTCCACAAAAGGCTGTTCCACGAGCTGAACGGCCGAAGAAGCTTTAATAGTCAATGGACTGATGCCGAAAATATCATCTATTTAAAGTTAAAAAGCCTTGTTCGACTACAAAATTTCTCTTTAACTGTTACTCATTTCGATCTTCTCCATTTCTTTTACACTTCATTCAGAATAATTTTGCTTAGTCTACATGGCCTATCCTTTGCACGGTCAAGGAAAGTTAATTTTAAATCTAGGGAGTAGAAGAAATCGTAATTCAATCGTTGACTAATAAGCAAGATCATATTTTGAGCTGAATAAAAGGAACACGGTTAAACGAGCCTCCAAACTACCGTCAGCTGATTAAAATTACAACAACACTTCCGCAACTAAATTACCGTGAGTTGTTAGCCAGCAGCTTGTCAACGTCGGGCAGCTGACCGCCGCAAATGAGAAACATGGCCCGCGCCGCGGTTACAGGAAGCGTTGCATGCTAATGAGCACGTGTGCATAGCGTTTTTGGTTTGCGTACGAAATTTGCTCCATCAATGTTTGTGTAAAACGTCAGTAAGTTGTAAGTTAAGGGCGAATAATCTCTTTTTGGCTCGTCTGATTTTTATATAATACTTACCCTATATTACTCCATCTCATTTATATATTATCATTCGCTATTCTTCCACAGTTATTATACTTATAGTTACTATGCCATCAAAGATTCGCAGGTACCTCCTGCGTCGTATCACTAACCCGTTAATTCAATCAGAAGGGACGCTAAGCTGTAAATAAATAAATGTATAGAAAGAGTTGCAATAAGTTACCATCATTCCATTATCCCCGCAGCGCCACCTCGGTTGTTGAAGATGTGGAGGAGGGAGCACTAGTACTAGCCGTACTTCGTGTATTGCATCATCCACCAGGAGCCCACTTTTTGTGCTGGTCCTGCACCGAAGGCCGGGGTGATGCGAGATCTTCCTAGCGTCACCACGGATGAGCAAAGAGAGGCTTCTAAGGCCATCTATAACAACAAAGCGAGACATCTTTAGGAAAGACAGTATAATATATATATATTATTGATGACTCCGTGGCGCAGTTGCCAAGATATTGGCTTCGCTGTCGAGGGTCGTGGGTTCGATTCCCACTCGGGACAGCTATTTGTGCGACCCACAGATAGTTGATTCGCATCTGGGTGTTTGTCCGCGTGAAATTTATGTTTGTAAAACGTCCTTGCAACACAGGATAATGTTATCCTAAAGTAAGGGCAATGTTTATTTTAAAAAATTAAAAAAACGAAAAAAATATATACATATAATTCTTCTGTGCGTGTATATGTCACTGAACTCGTTCGAAATGTCTGGACCGATTTTAATGAAATTTTTTGTGTGTCTTCAGGTCGATTCGAGAATGCTTTAGATTCACAATTCGGTATAATAAAATGTTTTTATTATAACTTGTAGTCTAATCATTTAAGTTGTGTGTATAAGACGTCAGTCGGGTCCGCTAGTACGAGTATATATACTATATACCAAGGAGGAAGCAGAAAATTGTTCATTGTTCACTCTATGCAAGCAAGGAGTAATCTATAATCTTCTCATTGTTCACCCTGTCACACTAAATAATAGTAGGAAATTTTTTTTTAGTTTAAATTAGTTATGCATTATAATTAGAGGTTCATTGTTTATAGTATAAAGCAAGATGTAATTTTTGTTGAAAAAACCCGTATGCTATTGTATTTTTGTAAAATAAACTACCGGAATCTAAATATCACCAATTGAAAATGTAAAACAGTTAATATTGCTTAATTCATAGAAAGTACGAGTATATATATTATGCAGCAAAATGGCACTTAAAGTCTTTAAAAGGGAAAGCAAGTTATTTACGGGAATAGTATTAACTCGACATTTTAAGAAATGTCGCTTTCAGAAATAAACCGTGAAATCGCATTACGCGAAGTCTCGGCGCCGACAGAGAAAATATTTTCTTGTATTTATAAAATTCTAATAAATCAACACTTATATAGTCATAGCTTTTTGATGCGACGGTTGCTTTTATTTCTTTATTTGAGTCGTTTTTTTAGAGAAAGAGTTTATTTAGCCATTAATAAACTATAGGCGGAAATTAAAAATATAAAATCGGCCTAAAACCTTTTTAGTTCGACCATTTTTCGGTATGGTGTATGGTAATGTAATCTACTTGTCACTGTATGAATTATTCTACTTGTTAACTCCTACTTATAAAGTAATTCGTCTTTTTCAACGAATTCCACGTATTGAACGCTACCCATCGTGTACTACAGTTTCAAAGTCCTTTTCAGTGAGCAGTGGTTGCTTTGACACCCGAATACAAATATGGAAATATACACAGCAAATGTAGAAAATTATGCAATATAGAGAAGTGGAAATTTAGCGCAGTAACTTAATTTTAAATTTGCGTATTGAGTCGCGTCTACATGTTTTGAATATAGTTAGATTAAACATTTCTACTGAAAGCTCTGTTTAATTGTATTCTTAATTTAGATAATAATTTGTACAATCTTATTCTATATTATAGTATATACATTTCACGTTATATATGACCGTGATATTTATGAACATATCTCAATAAAACATGCCAATCAGTTTTTTTCTATTGAATTTCAGAATACGTAGTGAGTTTCAGAAATTTTTATTCTGAAACTCACAATGCTTTAATACTTCAAAGTTAAGTGAAATGTTCAGAGGGCAAATATATATATTTTTATTTTCTTTAGTTCCACCATTTCCTGCAATTAACAAATGAAAAAATGAATAAAAGTGGTAGAAATAAATAACTCATAATAAAGTGTATACCTACATCAACTTATTCGTAATTTTACTAGTTCTAAATATTATCTAAAACTAATAAAAATATTTTATTAGTTCTAGATGACATAAACCTTTTTGTTGTTAAAACTTAGCGTCGTTTATTATTTATTAAGTTAACATATGGTAATTTTCTTTTAATTATAACTTGAGCATAGCGATTTTAGTATCAATTACTAAGTATATGTTTTAAGGTTGATTAGAATTGGGTATTTGAAATAGATTTTTATATGTATTTGAAAAATTATTATAAACAATTTTGATAGTTAAAGTGTTGTCAGGTGGGACCCGGCGTCGGGTCTTCAACTCAGAAAATGCTCCTATAATAATGTTAATAATTATTATTAATTATTATTAAGAAATATTTATCTAGAATAAAACTATTTGTTCGCAAGACATCGTGTGAAAGTTACGGTAACAAGGCTGTTCAACTTCAGCGCAAGTCTGGATGATTAGCGAACAAAACTTAATGTTCTTTTAGGATTTATCCGGTGCACTGGTCTTGTGGTACATTTAAAACATTTTTACAGGTAATACATACATAACACTTCTTCTAAATTTATAAATATTGTGACAGTAACAAAAATACTTAATAACAGTTAAAACACTGTATCATTAATCACTTCGGCCTGCATTAAATTATGATTAGAAATGAACGTTGACGTCAACTCGCTCGGATTTGTTCGAGAACTGTTGGCGTGTTTCGGTTAAAAAAGTAATTTTAATTTTTTATAAATTTCTATTTGTAACAAAGAAAAAATAACAGTATTTTGAGTTAGTATGAACAGTCATACCTGCAATTTCAGATATTTCATAATAATAACTTAGACAGAAGTGTATAATTTTTTTTGTTCGATAACCTAACATTAATAAAATAAATCGAAACATTCACTATTTTGTTTCATATTGTATACTCAGTTTGTTTTTGTTACTCAGAAATTCAAGTAAATTGTTAACTGATTTAACTATCACACTGTTATACCTAAGACATTCGTGCTACCTATTATCTTAAATATCACACTTACAAATTGCAAGCTAAGAATAACGTCGAGTAATTTCCATTCGTAATCAATTCAGAAAAAATTATCGACGCACACCACTAGAATTGTAATCTGCGACGGAGAGGTCGTCAGACAGAGTAGCGGCTATTTAAAACAAGCATTTTACAGCGAACTTCAACGAATAGTCAATACTCATTATATCCGTGTGCAGCATAAAATCATGCGGTTTCAATTTGCCAACACCGAATCGTTTGGTTTCGGTTTATCCGAAGCGAGCATATCAAAGGGGGATAAACCGCGAATACAAAATGGAAACGGGTACGACCGCAGGCGGTAAGTTGATTTTTTGATGTTAATTGTACTATACTAATTAATGTACCGTACTTCCATCCAGTAAAACCGCTATGTAGTAAAACAGTATGGTTACACTTATCCACTCTTGATATAGGTAATCAAGATAAAGCTGTCCAATATAGCGCCCGCTCTGTGCTTAAGTCTCATGTGCACAAGGAATACTTCGTATTAACCTTCTCGGACTCCCTCAAGTGAATAATCACACCTTTATTGTGGAAAGGCCATGCAGGGGCTCGTTCTGAATCAAGAATGGGTGGCTCGGCCGGTAAGTACCGTGGAAGTAAGGTGGAACTATTAAGATTTGCGTTTTCTCTGATGAGGTGAAGAAACCGGGCGCAGTGTTTTTAAAGGTTTGCAACCGGTGAGTTGAAACAACTTCACATCAGGTGAATCGCCTGTTCGATTTCCGAATCATGTTAATGATTCAGGAATCGAACAGCATATATGTTTAATGATTCAGCATCGTGGATACAGATAGTCTATACGGACTTCGCAAGTGCAGTTAAGAAAGAACTCCTCGTTCTTTCTTAAATGCTCTTGCGAAGTCGTAAGAGTACATGTTAAGTAAGTGTTTATATTATTTTTTTTAACTGCATTTATTTCGTATATTATGACATAATTAAAGATAACTAATATAAGTAAAATGTGCAATGTGTACATTTTAATGTTATGATTGAATTTTGAACAAAACGGAATGAAATAATGTCTCGTAATAGGTTCTGCTTTATAAAAGATTAGAACGAAGAGTTCCGATTTGTTTACCTTTTTACTTCTACCAAAAACGAATCGCAGTCCAAGTTATTTGTGTGAAGTAATTAGGATATTTCTTTCCAAAAAATGACTCGATATTAAGGTTTTTTTTATAAAGCTGAGGAAATATTATTTTCCCAACATTTTTTTTGGCTGGCTCAACCACTGTTGGCCTTGATGTTGAGCCTTTACAGATCGACAACAACATTCATTATACTTATTAAACATATTATTACCAATATGAATCCATCGACTCGTACGTTTCACCGCGGAGATGGGGAAAATATCATTCTCATCATTTTGCAGGACGGATAAATTCCCCCCCGGAATTTTGTTAAGCCCTTTAGCGTCAAGCTTTATGACGTAGGTTATTTTGAGCACCGAGTCGCCCTCTGATGCGCGGGAAACTGGTAATTGGATCTGTAACAGAATTTGCACCCAGGCGATGCACCGGTTCATTCCGCAGGTGTGACTTAGCGTGAATTGCAAAACAACTGCAAATGCCCCTTTCGACAACATTGCCCCGGTGTGGCGTGTCCGCTCCGATCGATACGTTTCCATTCTCGCGGGTACAAATATTTTCCATTCAATTCAAAAGAGTCCAACGGTTGAAGATGTTTACATACTAGCATTGCAGATTCGAATGTCGTATTGAACTTTAATATCGATAAAAGAAACACGAAGGAAATACTAAGCGACAAAAGACGCTTTCCCAACATTATTGTAAGTACAGTTTTAATATCAATTCGTGTCTACTTTCTAGACGGCGTTTTCTTTAGACTTACGGTAATGTTATATGTTTTTATGAATAATTAAAATGCAATGAAAGTCACGACATTTTTTTGTTAATTTGAAATTTTTTGTACAATTTATTTTTTCATATATAATTAAAATTTTATTTTTATAGGATCGAAAACTGTTATTTCTGGTAGGATGTGATATCTGGGGTACGTGGCTAGGAATCTGAGGGCACTAATTCATATTCATAGCGTTGTAAATCAATGATGATCATTCGTGAAATCTTTAACTACATAGAGGTGATCTTTTAATTTTCTGGTCAAAACCCTCGTTGTTAATTAAGCGACAAATGAAGGAAAATAGCCGGGTTCTTTTTTTACGAGTTTTAAGTGTGCGTATTTGGGGGATGATAAAATCTTCATAGCAAATGTTGGTTAAATAAAACAAGTACTAGCGTAAATTGGTAAACTGGTGAACAGAATTCAAGGTGGAAGTACAAAAAAAAGAAACTTTGTACTTTGCAATACAGCTGACAGTATTCATTGAAATTAGCTAAAGTGTTAATTTTTTTGATAAACATAAACATTGGATATTTTATGGCAATAAAGTAGCAAATAGTGCGTTATTCCTGTTTATGTGAAATTGTGTCTCAAAGTGAACATTTGACTGTCATAATTTTGAATTGCTCAAAACTTTTATTACTTTTCAGTACTACGATCGAATTTGGTAGTTAATATAAATTCATTCGGAGTGTTAGTTACTAAAATTTTGGATAATAAGTAAGCCAATTTAAGCGTGATTTATTTACTAAATGTGCCCAAAAGTTATGTTACTTATAAACGGAACTAATTCGAGGTGAAAAGAAGACGCGTAGGGGGTGAATAGGATTGAGAATGGGGTTAATAGAAGCGCGGGAACGTTAAATAGAAGCGCGTGATGGGTGATTAGTAATGCGTCTGGGGTGTTATCGCTAGGGATGCCAAATAAGATTATGCGTAATATATTTTTGTATGTAGGTATTTTGTACCGATGGCAACTTTATAAAATAATTAAAAGATAACATTATAATATATTAAAAGATCTCAAGCTGCCTTGTCGGTAGAAATCTAAGTAAAATATTTTGAAGAGCTAACAAATTCGTTGGCCGATGTACTAGTAACAAATATAGTAAACTAGCAGTTCGCTGCTTCACCCACGCGGTCAGAGGGAATTTATAAATGAGCTTTTAATTATACACTACTTAGTTGACACGTATCATTACCTATATTTTGTACTATTCACACAATATCTTTATGTATTATAGCCTATGCGTTCTTCTGAAGTATAAGCTATATTATTGTAAAGTTTCATTAAAATCTATTCAGTAGTTTTTGTGTGATAGAGTAACAAACATCCATCCATACATACAAACTTTATTTTTTATTATTATGAGACAAATCTCTATGATGATCCTGAGCGCAGAAAAATTATTAAGAAACTTAGAACTAAATAACTAGAACGCGTAATGAACCATTCAAAGGCCTGTGTTTCCATAATGATTGCTGGATCGGCTGCCAGGCAGCATTTACCACCATACGTGGTTTAGAAAACGCAAAATTTATACAAATTATTAAGATATTTTTCTCTATTAGCATAATTTTATATTTTAAAAATACATGCACATTTAAAAAGAACTATTCAATTTATAATTTCGTTTACTTTTTATTCGACTATTGGATACTTTCTTTTGGATGATTTGATCCCATGTTTTCTGTTATTATAAATGTTGATATTCATATTAAAATTATTAATAGTATTCCTTCCCATGTCTCGCCCATGTATCGCCTCATTCTTCACACATATCGCGGGTAAATTTAAGGCTCCCACATATTGTATTTTTTAAATGAATGACAACGAAAATAAGTTCATTAATTGAAAACAATTTAACAATTTACATTGAAAGAAATCGATCCAAAAGTTAAAAACCTTTCTGTTCACTCCACTTTACATTGTACATATAGATATTAATAAATGTTTAATATTGCTTCTCTCATACTGTGTGCGACTGTTTCTTAATACTGAGTGACGTATAACAACACGTGTGACGTATTTCGTTTTGAATATTACTCAGGATTACCAGAAAAGCTGAGCCTTCACTAATCTTATCCCATATACGAGCAATAACTACCTACCTATATATATATATAATTATCATTCGAAAAATATCATTCGAATATGACGGTAAATTTTTACATACTTATTTTTTTACTTTTTTTCGATTCCAGATCATTGCTTTCTTTATTTTTAATTTTTTGTCGATTTGTTATTTTGTTAATTATTTCCTTTTTTTTTAAAGTTCTTTCTTTTGTGAAAAACACCAGTTCATATTTTCTTATTACGTCGGTAAGATCGAAAAATATTATGCATATTTCATTACTCAGTAATTTGTATCCAAATGAATTTCCAAAATACACGATTTACAAAAAAAAAAAAAAACCGAGCAAAGCTCGGTCCTCCAGGTGATGTTTATTCGGAGAACCTCAATAGTAACAATGTAAATGTATTAGGGCCACGCAATAGCGTTGCTATTGCACGAATGGGCAGGTCCATCCGGCGAAGTACCACGACCTCACAAAAGACGTGAAGTAGAAATGTTACACTTCTGCGGTTCTTCTTGTGAGTAAGGTAGGTGGGGCCCCCTTTGTTAAATGGTGGTAACACATCTGCAACTAGGTGTTGCAAATGCTAATGAGCGGCGGTTATCGTTTAAAAACACACACATATAATATGACACATCTAGCATTATTTGAATATAATATATTGATATAACACCAGATTGTAGGGTTTATCAACGTTATTCACATCATTTCAATAGGCAAATATATTTTCCCTTAAAATAGACATCATTCTTATCCGATATGGCGTTTATTTAATTATTTTTTTAGATCTGCCCGTAGTTTTTACATTAAAAACAATATTAAATGTAACATGAATTAATTTTACATGTTATTGAGAGGCAAATACGGCATGCTTATTATTAAAAATAAAAAAGAAAAAGTAAATAGAAAAGTATGATTAAAATATTGTTAGGCTCACTTATTACTAAATAAAATAATTAAAAAAACAAATTATAATATTTTTAAGGCAAAGAGAAAAAAAGTGCAAAATCTATGAAAGAAAATTAAGTTATGTGGTCGAGGGTGTGGCGTTGATGGATTATTTCTTATTGGCATACCATAAAGGTACCTCTTAAGAATCCCTAAAAGAAACAACTTGAACACTATAACATAAATCTTATTTTTTCTTACATCTCCGTTTGCAGACGCTCGAAGCAACTGTGTCTCAAACTTAAACAAGGCGAACGATGGATCTATTGTGGCACGCAAGGCGAGGCCGGGATTACTAAAGGCCCATTTACACGATGCCATTTTCTTGAACATACAAGAGCAATAATTGAATGCAATAAATTGCGCGCAATAATTGTTTAGACCATTTCTTGTTTAGACCATGCAACTCATTTATTGCTTCAATTTAATTGTATACAACAGGCAAGAAACTTGCACCGTGTAAATGGGCCTTAAATGTCGCTTCAAGCTGCAGCAAAGTGAGACGGGCAACCCTATCCGGGATTAAACTAGTTAACTAACGTTTGTGGTGTCGTGATAAACAGGTAAGCGCGATAAACGCACCTTCGTTCGAACCTCGTTGCAAAGTTAGCGCGGGCTCATACGAAGTTTCTAGACGCTGAAATGAGGAGTTTACGTTGTCCATGCGCATTAGAAGCTGAATGCTTATAGTGGTGAATACAAAAACCCTCTAACTAACCATCGTACCTTTTTAAATGTTTTTCAGCGACATTAATTCTCGCCTAATCAGTATTCTGCCGTTATTTTGCATCCTAGGGCACAGAAGATTGATGACGCTTGTTTTCCAGTGACGGTCCCGTCGCGTACTTGCTAATTTTTACGTGTTGCAATAGCTAATGCATTAGGTTGCGCGGCGAATCTAAATGTATTGGTGAAATACTGGAGTGTCCCAGAAGTAAAGAGACAAGTCAATGAAAATTATTTTTAATGAAAAATTGTATGTCAACTGTTATGTGTGTCATTATAAATTATGCATGATAATAAAAAAAAACAATCTATATCAAATTTGCTCCTGCAATGCCTTTATAGCTATTTTTCTCAAATTAATGCTTGCACGTCTCATGACTGCTTTTCCAGAAGTGGCTGCTACCCGTTTGGCCATCCAATCTAGCCCATTTTTGTTTGAAAGATAACAACGTTTTTGATTTTTCTGAATTCTTTTTGTATTCCGTTTTACACAGAGCCCAAAACATTTCGATACCTCGAGCTTGAGGAACATTTGGAGAATTGTTTTGTTTCGATATGAATTCCATGCCTATAGATTGCAAATATTGAGTGACTTCAGACTCGTAGTGGCACGAAGCCATATCCGGCGAGAATACAACGTCTTCCCTCTGGTAATACTTGTCTATAAACGGTATTAATCGCTTCATGATACACTCTCGAAGATAAATTTGTGCGTTCATAGACCGTGTACAGATTGGTTAAGAAACATTGCCGTTTTCGTCTATAGCTTGCCAAACCAGATACACCTTAAAAAATTTAGCCTTTGTTTTAACTTTTTCGCTGTATTATATCTCACCACGACTGGTAGCGTGGAAATATTGCTTCCCAGAAATATCAGAGGGGTCTACCGGTACATAAGTTTCACCATCAATTATGAGAATTTTTTCAAAGTTTTTTGGTAAACTCGACGGCACCTCGCTTAGCACGCACTTCTTGGTCCTTCACATACTTTGGAACGGACAATTTCACAAT